ATTTCAGCTAAATTGGCTATCTCAGGCATCGCAGCTATTTGAGTATTTCAGTTATTTCAGCCATTTCAGCTATTTGGGCTATCGCAGCCATGTGGATATTTCAGTTATTTCCGCTGTTTAGGCTACCGCAGCCATGGGGATATTTCAACTATCCCAGCTATTTAGGCTACAGCAGCCATGGGGATATCTCAGTCCAACTACCACAGCCATATTCCAGGCTACCGCAGTCATTGGGATATCCCAGCCATTCCAGCCATTTGGGCTATTGCATCGGGCGATGACGCATGCGCGTCAAAGCCTTACATCAGGTGGGAAGCCCCACCTGATGCGCCGCTATTCCAGCTGGGAAGGCCGTCACCAGCAACCTCCGCGAGGTGCTGACGTCACTTGGTGTTGAGGGCTAATATTCAGGCCAGTCCTTCCGCAGAGGGGCGTCCTCGAGGCCTTCGCCCTCTTTGGACGACGTCTTGGGTTGTTTTGGGAGTTTTTCTAGCGCTGGGGGGCCTTTTTCGGGGTTATTTGCATGTCCAGATGTCCAGAAAGGTCTTAGCTGCCCCAGTGTTGGATATGCCCAATCATATATCTACATATCTACTTGTGCATACGTTATTTCTGTATGGCCTCACTGTTTGCGAGCACTAAAACACTAATACATCCCCCCCTACTCAAAATCCTAAATCTGGTAGAAAAGACGGGGCTCTCAGTTAGGAGTCCTAAAGGCCTGAACAATAACGAAGACTCTATAGACGATGGTGATCGCGAAAGCGATGAGAGCTTCGTCTCGTTAAGCGAGACGGCTAGCTAAACGACTAGTTAAATTATGAATTGCAAATTAAATAAGAATGCTTGGCAAAGCTAATTTAGCTCCGCCTCCGACTTTTTGTTAGCGCCATTCATAGAAAATTGTAGAGAACGTACTTGCCACTCTTGTACCAGCCCACTCCGACTTACCAGCATGCTTATGCTCTGGAACGATTAGGTTAGGGAGAAGGTCATAAGAGAAGGTGGAGGATTTTGATTGATATTACGTAGTATTTCATTATAACTACTCTATTATCTCCATAGTCAAATGCTTTAAATCTCGTTCAAATGCCTTAATTTCGCAGTCAAATATGTAGCCTGCAGTGCTCTGCTTGAAATGCTCCACCGCAAATCTATCACAGCCACTAACATCGATTGCATGCTTCAGAAACGGCTTCAGGTCGCCAATGGGATTCGAGTAAGAGTTGGGCACGCTGGCGTATAGAGGGATTCTTTCTAAATGGTGGTATCGCGTCCGAAGTAAGGGCTGGCGATGTGGCTATTACACGTCTAAGTCAGAGGTAAAACACCAGGAAAAGCGTGTATACCCACTAGCTTCGGTATCACGAATGTCCAACTGAGGTAGCAGACGACAGTGGCTATTGCAAGAGTGGCAAGTACGTTCTCTACAATTTTCTATGAATGACGCTAACAAAAAGTCGGAGGCGGAGCTGAATCAGCTTTGCCAAGCATTCTTATTTAATTTGCAATTCATAAAAGAGCGGATTTCAAAGTCGCTTAATCTGACACCGGCCGCGAGACAGGGAAACTCGGCTCCGAGTTAGAACTTATCGTTGCCAGCGGCCAGGAATTAGAGAAACGCGTATCTGATAACGAATTAAACCCGGTATCTCTATTTGTTGTCTCCTACTCTATATACATCTGCAAATCTGAAAAGTTCCTGCAAAATTTGAAATTGCTGATCGCGCGTTGGTCGCGGAAATCACAAAATCCGCCGGATCAGCAAATCTGATTAAAATCCGCCCAAATTCCGCCCAATCAGCAACTATGGTCTGCTTTTCACACGCTGTCCGCCGGTTCAGCAATTACTATTTACTGTTGGAATGCTATCCGCCGGTTCAGCAATCACTATATACTGTTCGAATGACATCCGCCGGTTCAGCAATCACTATATACTGTTCGAATAACATCCGCCAGTTCAGCAATCACTACATGCTGTTCGGATGATTTTTCCAGGAACAGCAATCGCCTTACACTGATATTTTATTATTCCTATAGTTCGCGATATCGACTCGACTCTGTGAGCCGGGTCCGACTCGACTCAGTTGTGCTGTGAGCCCGGTCCGACTCGACTCAATAATGCTGTCGCCAGGTATTGGGTCCATATACACAAGTTTATATTACTATACCGAGCAATCTGCCTTCCCTACTAAAGGCAAGGGTACCACCGTTCATAATACATCTCGCAAGCGCCAACTGCCTAAGAAGGAAAACCGTCGCTAGCACGCTCCCCCACCGCTACAACCGCGTCAAAGTCAACATGATGCACATAAAGGCCGGTGATATATGTTCATATCCCCATTACCCGACCTTGGCTCTGCTAACCTCTTCTCTTGGTATCTAAATCCCTTCGGGATTTATGCGTGTTAGTGCTCGTCAAAGTGTCGGGCATCTTTCCCGTAAAATCGAAACCGGCTTCCTCAAGTCAGGAGTTTCGGCTTTTGGACAATTATGTGCATGAGGGTATGGCGAGTGGTGGTATATATGGATCTCCCCCACAACATCTTGCGTTGGGGCTTTCTTCTGGTTCATCGTGTTTTTGGGATGACGTGCCTCGGTTCTGGTTCATCGTGTTTTTGGGATGACGTGCCTCGGTTCTGGTGTTGTCGTATAGACTGTCAATGACTCTCGCCGTCTTATGCCCCCTACAACAGCTTGCGTTGGGGCTTTCTTCTGGTTCATCGTGTTTTTGGGATGACGTGCCTCGGTTCTGGTGTTGTCGTATAGACTGTCAACGACTCGGGGGAACTTTGGATGATAGCCCCCGTTGTGGGCGATGGCGTTCTTTAAGTTGCAAGAAGTCGCGAATTGGTCCAACAGCAGTCTTCGGCGCCGGAATACTTGGCCAGATGCTTTCCAAAGCGTGTTGACGTCTCCCTGACCAGGGAAGAGCCCGCCCTCTCTTCTCTTTCTGATCACGGTGTCCACGCACGTGTTCTGTAATTGTGGGACCTCTCTTCGCTCGGCGAACTCGTAGATGGCGATAAGGTCCGACCATGTCAAATCTTTGTTGGTCTCTGCTTCTGAGATGATCCTCCCAGAGTAAAGCCAATCCTTGAATCTCCGAAAGACATGTACGTCTTCCTCAAGAAGGAACACTACCTGAGCGGAGACGCCATCTTCCATTGTCGCATCGACGGTGAGCTGCTCCCGGAAAAACCTCGAAGCCCGACGTAAAAGCCCTCGATGTATCCCGACTTTCTGTGCCAATCCGCCAACCTTGACTGTGACGATGGCATCATAGATGGAGCTATAACCTCATTGGTTTTGGGTTTAATGATCAATTGGGGAAGGACTCACTCCACTGCTGTGCCTGTTGGTCTAAGCATCTCCTGTTCCATCATCGAAGCTGTCTCAGTCTTGATGCGTTTCTTGCGTGGTTCCGAATTCTCGGAATCTGTGGCAGCCATTGTCTTCCTCTTCTGGCCCTTCGGTTTTGGGTGGCTTGGTTCTATACCACCTCCCGACATTGTGGTTTGTCGGCTTAGAGGAGGCGCGGGTGGTGGCATGTTCGTACGGAAAGCTAAACATCAAATGAGTTGAGGTACGCGGCAGATAGACGAGAGTGGCTAACCTTCAGGGAGGGATCCAGATCTGATGTCCAACTGGCGTGACCGATTTGGGTACAGTTGTACCCGGGGTGTGTGTATATATATGTATGTATAGTGAGGATTCACCGCCGAGTGCAAAGATGGCAAGTAGACAAGTCCGAAAGGAGAAGTGATAAGATGAGGTGAAGGGGTTTTGATGTTTCGTACATGTATAGTGATGCTCTGATGTTTTGATACTCAATTCGAAGCAGGCTCAGTGACAAATACCGTGAGGCCTCAGAAGTCGAGCAACAAAAGCAGACCTAGTTGTCGGAAGTCTCGACTCAATATCTCAAAGACGATGCGCTAGGTGCGTAAGTGATGATGGTACAACTTTCATTAACAGAAGTTTGACGCTTGAGGTCGATTAGGAGAATGGTGATGATGTGAACGAAGTCGTTGCATGTCAAAGTGACCTGAGTGGTAGAAGCATGATGTAAAAGGTGCGTGGCAAGTCACCACCTGCCTGATGCCCAAGAAGCTTCACCTGGGTCTTATTCGTGACCGGCTTTAGGTTGGAAGCCCGTGTTGAGGTCAGGTGAGGGGTGTTCTGGGCTTTGGGGTCACAAATGGATTAATGACGGACTTCAGGCCCGAAACCCGTGTTGCTTTTAGGTGAGTGGTGTTATGGGTTTCGTCATCTTCCTCGACTGCGGTAGTCGCAACTGGATTCGTGACGGGCTTTTGGCTGGTAATCTGTGTTGAGCTTAGGTGAGGGGGTTCTGCCCCCTCTGTTTGGAGGTCGAACGGGAGCTTGTCTGTCACGATAGATTCTTGAGTGAGCATTGATGATCCGGAATTGACCATTGTTGAGGGTGCCTTGGAGAAAACAGATCGTGTGAGGCCGTCGCCGATCAATTTCTCACCCATTTTCTGATTGGCGTCGGCTGCTCTGAATGACATTCGATCGAAAGTCTCATTGATTGCCGGATTGGGTTCGACGGCTTTGACGGGGATGAGGACTTTAGAATGTGCAGCACCACCGAGGGTCGAAGGTCCACCGGATCGGTGACGTACGTTTGCCGGAGCCCATATGGACTCGCTCAAAGGACGGGTTTCCACGCTGTTCACGTAGGCGGCGAAAGCCTCGGCAACGTCTTCGTTATGAGTGTTGGCGGCTCCTAGACGTGGGCTTGATGCTACTGTTTTAGGCGTATTGTAAGAAGCTCTCAGGCCGCTAACGTGCGGGCTTTGCTTGGGGTGGACCTCTGGTGATGTTAAGGAAGGGGAGCGATCCTCGCCAGCGCCGGTAACATTAGGAGGGGTCTTTGCACCTTCAGACTTTTTGTACTCATCGATGCCCTTACTACCGTTGATCAGTGAGATGAAACGACCGATGAACTCGGGATCATCTAAAGGCATTTTGGAGTGAATGATTGGGAGTTCAAAAGATGTGATGTGCAGGTAGAAACCGGCCAGTATGAATGGTCATGGGCAAATTAGCATCTGTCTGCTCCCCCTGGACCTTGAGCTGGGTCTTCTTCGTGACGGACTTTTGGCTGGAAACCCTTGTGGGTGTCAACTAGAAGTCACGTGCTCCGAGATGGCCCCTCTCAAAGGGAAGTTTCGCCTCCCTGAAGATGGTCCGAAAGTTGTCCGAGTCGAGAAGGGTGTCCGGGTCGAGAAGGGTGTCCGGGTCGAGAAAGGTGTCCGAGTCGAGAAGGGTGACTGGGACCGATTTTGCCCGTTGCATATTTAGTCCCATTCCTGACATCCTAAGATCCAGATCCTCGACATCTCTATTGTCTTGTAGTGTAGCGTGTATTGATCTCCTTTGCTGCTCTGTAGCTCTTGTTTAGGAAGTCCGGATCGTAGATACTATTGTATTGATCAAAGTCGATAAAGCTGTTGATGTAATAAAATTCCTTGCCTTTCACCGACGCGGGCACGACATGTGCACTTCTCTCGATGCTTGCGAGGCTATAGAATCGTCGTTTTCCGAGGGTTCTTGGATTCCGCGCTGTTGATGGCTGCGCCCTTTCTACTTCCACCATGCCATGACATTCCTGAACTTGTCCATTGTGTCGATACTTAAATATCTCCATGAAAACACCCTGCAGGTGAGTCGGTCTTTGTCTGAAATCTCTGCGGGCTAGGTCCATCACTTCCACCACGACCAGTACTTCCCCCACCAGTTTCCCCGAAAGAACCCCGTCAGCATCGGAGGTCTGCTGGTCATATTCGTGGACCCAAGCGCAGTCCCTGCGCCACCTTTTTCGAAAGGGTTGACCGATGGGTCTGCAGACGACGACGTCTTTGGACAGGCGAGCTATGTCCAGAGAATCCTCCCCGAGAGCCTTCCAACATCGAACATTGGAATGGATGCGGACCGGATATCGACGTACCCATCCACAGTCCGCCTCACGTGTGTCGATGTTATTGTCTCCCTTGGATAGATGATGTTCCCTCGATTTCGTTCGATCTGTTCGAATAAAGGCGGCCAGAGCTTCGAGGAAAGTGTCCAACTCCAACCATTCAGCAACGGCCCCTGCTGGTCGCCAATAACGACTATCACAATGATAGATCTGCCTCATGATATCACGCTCCTCGTCGTCCGCCTGCCAACCCCAGGCATGAAGATCTAAAGGAGTTCCCGCCTCGGTCTTCTTCTCTTCCTCCTGTGATCTCTCAATTGCAGGTGGCAACACTTCTGTATCTTGGTACTTGACGAGATCACGCATCGTGATCATCTTCTGATGTGCGACATCGTGACGCATGATCTGTTCAATATAGTTATCATGCTTATTCGTTAGTCCGTAATACTTTTTGAAGAATTCAACATGCGCCTTTTCCCCCGTTTGAGTGGTCAATCCATCGGGTGGGCCGAATGATTGTATCATTTCGGGCAAGTGACTGATGCTATGAAACTTTGGGAAGTTAAAGTGACCTTTACCCGTCGTTTTGTCCAGAGGTCTGTATGCTCGAAAAACCTCTTTCAGCAGGTCAATCCGGGCCAGGGCCGCGAGTAGATATCGGATAGTATCATCATCATGAGAACGATATCTCGCCAGTATAACAAGGTCAAGGATAGCGCGACCTGCATGCAGCGCATCCGGATTCAACTCAACCAAGATCGGTGCAAAGGTGGCCATCATCGTCCTCTGTAGGGTCCGGCCGTCCTCTCCTGTCCACTGTGTCTTCTTACTTAGAGACCCGATGCGTCTCAGGTTGGTGTGGCTAGGGATCGCCCGAAAGCGGGCATCGAGGAGCTTATTCGTCTCGTTCTCTGTCTTCGTAGCCCTGATACATTCAACCCACCATTCAAGCAGATAGCCTATGAGTCCCTTGACCATCAAGGAGTGCAGGATGTCGAAGCATTGCAGCCGGTATATGTCGACAGCGAAGTGGCCGTCGGTAAAAGGACGGCGGTCGTGGAGTACCATATCCCGCCAAGTGTTTCGGCGTCTTTTTGGTATACCTCTTTTGCAGTCTCAGCTGCTCGGCCGTGCGCTCGGGTGTTCGCTTAGGATATGGGGTTGGGGGGCATAATCGCTCCCTCTCTGTGGGTGGGACCGTGCATGTAGGACAGTGTCTGCCGCTCAAGATTGAAGTAACCATCGCCTGTTCCTCGTAGTCCAGTGTCATAGCAGCCAGTATTGGATGACACCTTCGAGTCAGGCCGTCCGCGCATTGTATGTTGACACCATGTTCGGAGTGTTCTTTGATTGCTGAATACACTTCGTCAGCAGATAGCATGCCGCGAGAGCACGAGAAGTTACCTTCGGTCATCAAACCCAAGGCGTAGTGGTAGACCTGGGCCTTGGCTTCTTTTTCCGCAACAATCGGTATCATTCCCAGAATCGCCATACCCGGTCTACTATGCGCGCGTCGCGCGTCTCGTTGAAGGTTCCCAATCGTGATGTAGACCGGCCAAGCATGTTGGTCCCCGTGCATCCGGGAGAGATGAGTTTTGTCCGATGCCAAAATGATGGGAACGACGGTAGAGCCATCAGGTAGCTTGTCCTGCGTTTCCCACCACCAATCCGCGGTATGCATCTCGCTGTAGACTCTCGCTCCATTAGCGTTCCTTTGGCGTACAGGTCGATAATATAGGCTCGTGCTGAAAGGTTCGTGTGCTAGAAACGCTTTGATGATGCTTACAATGTCGAAGTAAATGACGTGGTATGTCTTCGACCCCAATTCGGGTCCGAGAGTTGTGAATTTCAAAAGACTGGCTGGTCCAGCCGCCGTCGATGCCACCGCCACGCATGTTCTGCATCTTACACCTCAATGATTTCGCGCCGTCAAAGCTACAGCCGTCTCGGAATCGCTGCAAATGGACGTCGCGAAAGAACTTATCAATGTCACCGTCGGAGAGTCCCGACTCAAGGAACCACAGCGCCAGCGCATAATCTTCCCGGGATTCAAATGGATTCCAAAAATTGTCCGTGTCGGACATCGACCCGACGTCCGACCCAGTCCGGTAATTGGACATCGATTCCATTTGACTAAGAGGCTTCGATCCGGATTGTAGTTCCACCGGCCTCCCAGCGCCCCGCTCTCCCGGATACGGTTCTACAGAGTCAACTGTCAAAGACGAAATTGTAGTACTGCAACTTGAGCCTATTGCAGAGGTGGGGGTTGCTGTTGTCTCATCATCCAGGTTCATTGTTTGCACCGCGTTTGTCCCCTCTTCCCCTATCTCCTGCTCGTCCAATTGCTGCCATGGTATCGAATCCGCAGTCGTATCACCTTCGGGTGGATGTGTGTCTCCTTCTCTTACGGTGATCAGAGCTGTCAGATTGTTGATGCTGCCAACTATGTCGCGGTCCGTGGTATCGAAAGACGCGTGTGGAAGGATCGGTTTTCGCTTTCTGCAACCTCGTAGGTGTCTGGTGAGTCCACTGCCATTTTTGCATTGTTTTTTGCAGAAGCGACACACTCGATGCATATTCTCTCATCTGTTATTGATCAATCGCAAGATACGCGTTCTTCAGCAACCGGCAACGTGTTAACGCCTTGGCGAACGCACACTACTACTCTAGCCTTGCTTATCGCGAAGCCCAATTTCAACTTCATGTTCTTCATGGTCATACAAAAGATGTCCATGAATCCATGTATAAAAAACATCTTGCATTAATGGGCATTTGTAAAAAGGAAGGGTCTACAACGAGCTGTCCAGGGGAGGGATGCTTTCATTGCTTTTGAACGTTCCTCCGTATTTAATGCGTACATGGTTAAAGCGCTTTCATATGTGTAAAACTGCGTTTATATATTCACTCCAAAACAGTAAAGCCGCCTGCAGAGCATATGATTTAGGGGCATACATTTTGCATAAAAGAAACCAATTTTGCTTTGATTTAAACCGTTTGATTTAGATAGCAGTGCCTCTGAAAATGGTCTCAAGTGTTGCAAAAGAAATACACTGGGTCTATTCATCGTTACCCACAATGCGTGGCCATTTTGTTGTGTTCAGCTAGCTAATATATCTTCACATTGGGACGAAAGCCTTTCAGGCACAAACGACCGGAGCCGAACGAACCATCAAGAGCCGCACATGTCCGGAGAGAAGACGATCTGATTGATCGATTTTTGCAGGTACAAAGAAGAAAGAAGGTTGGTGTATCTGCTGAAAAAGGAACTCGACTGTCTGCTGATCGGCCGAAGAGTGGACGAAAATTGTGCAGGCACAGCATCCATTAGCCGCTATGCCTTGCTATCACCTCTCGTGCCGAAGAGTCAAAACGAGCATCAGTTTCCGAAATACTGATTACCGAAGTAATCATTGCCGCTCAAACCCTGCCGAAGGTTGTTGGTCCCGAAATTGCCAGCAGAGAACAGATCTCAGGAAATCCATGCCATCGTCAAATAAATTTGCATCCCCAGCAGATGCAGCAGCGAAATTCGCACTCCCATTATCGACATACGCGTTGCTGATTTCAACGCTGGCCGAAGCTCCTGCCGAAGTTCCTGCTGGTGATTGGTTGAAGTTAGTCGAAGATGCGGTGTGCTGGTGTTTAGTTGAGGCTATCGAGGTAGCCATTGGCAAAGTCAGCGCCGGCCGAAGTCTGCTTGTGATTGGTTGAAGTTAGTCGAAGATGCGGTGTGTATTCCGGGAAAGTTGCCTGAAGCTGATAGGGGACCGACGGACGAATTCACTCGAGCGGCGAAGAGTGAATCACTAACGCCGGATGTCCGACTCGAACCCTATGGCCTCATTTGAATTTCTTTCACCTCACATCTCACTTGATCTAACGCGCGTTTTCTTACCACCGCATTGTACATACCATCATGTCGATACCCATGCTTTCTCCAAACGATATGCTTGCAATAGCAGCGCCTACCGAAACCGATTTCTACCTCAAAATCGGCGTCGCCAAGTTAGGCGTCCCCGCGAACCGAGATAACATCCGCAAAGGACTCCGATTTTCAGAGCCCATGTTCAAAGCGGTGGAAGAGGAGTTCTCGCGCCGACTAAGACATGAAGGCCTTTGGGGAAAGCCCATAGGACCGCATAAGGGAAAGGTTGATACCATCGTGAGCGAGACTATCCAGTCGCTGCCCATTCCCAATCATGTAGCCGCGCAAGACCCCAGCTTCCTCCTCAAATCCTTGCATAAATTGATCTCATTGATCAACGAGGCGCCTACGAAGCAAGAGAAGCGATCACTCAAGAGGGAATCGACGGAAACGCAGGAAGACGGACATGCGAAGACCCAGAAGCTCTCAACGACCGAGAGATTGGCAAACCCCTACCAATCCAGCAGACCATCGACCGAAAACCCCCCTAGCATTGACTCCCTCCAACTCATCATCACCGACAACCTGAACGAGTGCAAGCTCGTCTCTGTTCAGAAGTTGATGGATGATCCAACAGTAACCTCTCGGTTCTGGGAGCAACTCAGCCTCAAAGCTCTCATCACCCATCTTCGGTCGAAACGGTTCTGGGGCGATACCGACGAAAATCCTATGGCACCATCCCGTCTAACCTACAGAGTGGACAATGCGAGCTCGGCCGTGGATGACGATGATGACTTACAAGAGGCGTGCAAGTATTGGGAGCGAGTACGTGCATCCGAGTGGCGGATGTTCTTGCAGCGCGCAATCAAAGGTTCATTAATCTCGCTTCCCCACGTTGACGATGAGCACTGACATTAATTCTAGCTTCGATCGAGACGTCAGACATCGGAGCCAGTGTCTTCGGAACTTCGCGAGACTTGTCGGTACGCTCACGTCCCCAATCTCAACGGCCCCCTGGGACACTCGAGCGTCCAGCCTTTCCTCCTATTGAGCGGAAGCAAGTCTCGAAGTTCCCAACCTCTCCCAGACTTGCTGATGCCCCGCCTCAACCCAAACCTGCTGAAACTCCGCTTTCTCCCCATTCTGCTATCGCTCCGCCTCCGATCTCACCACCCAACCCACTTAATACCCACGAAGGGAATGAGACAGATTCCCGACTCATCAGCATCAGCTCGGACGAGGGTGACCCTCGGCCACAAGTCCGTCGCCGTTCCCCACAAAAGAAGTCCGTCAATGATCCAACAGGCAACGCCGCCGTGCTTGAAACTTACAAGAGCAATGACGCGCTCCCGCCATGGGAGGGGAGGCGTCTGACAGTAGGAGATACTATACCAGTGGAGCTCTCAATCAAGCAAGATCACGCCCTTCGATCAGCTGACTCTTACGACATTGAGATCGGTGAGATTATGAGTCAAAGAAAGGTGCAGGATGATATGGAGGCCGGCGATGGAGACCTGGCATTAGAGTATGTATTCGAGTACTATCAGTCATCTGTTCTTCATGCTAATTGATGTGATAGAAAGGCAAAGCTCGGTGAGGAAGGGAGGTCTCAGTGGTCCGAGATAACTCGGCAAATCATGGAGCAAGTCTTGCAGCTCAACCGTGATGACACAAGCACCGACAATACCCGAACATCAAGTGAGCCTAACAGCTACCTACTACTGCTCATAAACGCGTTGGAAGGCCCTCAAAAAGAGCCCGAACGGATACGTCCTCCCCTACATACTCCTCCCAAGCCAGCGGTAGATGGGTTAAACTAACATTCAAATATTGTAGTCACACCAAACGCGTCCGGACGTCATATGCTCTCCACGATTCCACATCAAATCATCACTCAGCAAGCGGAGAACACCACTGTAACTTGGCCTGTCATCCCCACTGCATTGAGGAGTAAGAGGAGGAACTACAACAGGCAAATGCGGAGAACACTGCGGAGAAACCAAGCGGCAACAAGGCCACCATCGTCAAGAACACGGCTCAGCTCTCCAAGATCCCACGTCATATGCTCTCCACGGTTCCACATCAAATCATCACTCAGCAAGCGGAGAACACCACTGCAACTTGGCCGTTCCACATCAAATCATCACTCAGCAAGCGGAGAACACCACTGCAACTTGGCCTCTTATCCCCACTACATTGAGGAGCAAGAGGAGGAACTACAACAGGCAAATGCGGAGAACACTGCGGAGAAATCAAGCGGCAACAAGGCCACCATCGTCAAGAACACGGCTCAGCTCTCCAAGATCCCACGTCATATCAGTCATCCACTCAGTCAGCCACTCAGCTAGCCACTCAGTCTAATACTCTACAAGAGGTGGAGCAAGAGGAGGAACTACAACAGGCAAATGCGGAGAACACTGCGGAGAAACCAAGCGGCAACAAGGCCACCATCGTCAAGAACACGGCTCAGCTCTCCAAGATCCCACGTCATATGCTCTCCACGGTTCCACATCAAATCATCACTCAGCAAGCGGAGAACATCACTGCAACTTAGCCTATCATCCCCACTGCATTAAAAAGTAAGAGGAGGAACTACAACAGGCAAATGCGGAGAACACTACGGAGAAACTAAGCGGCAACAAGGCCACCATCGTCAAGAACACGGCTCAGCTCTCCAAGATCCCACGTCATATCAGTCATCCACTCAGTCAGCCACTCAGCTAGCCACTCAGTCTGATACTCTACAAGAGGAGGAGCAAGAGAAGGAACTATAACAGGCAAATGCGGAGAACACTGCGGAGAAACCAAGCGGCAACAAGGCCACCATCGTCAAGAACACGGCTCAGCTCTCCAAGATCCCACGTCATATCAGTCATCCACTCAGTCAGCCACTCAGCTAGCCACTCAGTCTAATACTCTACAAGAGGTGGAGCAAGAGGAGGAACTACAACAGGCAAATGCGGAGAACACTGCGGAGAAACCAAGCGGCAACAAGGCCACCATCGTCAAAAACACAGCTCAGCTCTCCAAGATCCCACGTCACATGCTCTCCACGGTTCCACATCAAATCATCACTCAGCAAGCGGAGAACACCACTGCAACTTGGCCTATCATCCCCACTACATTAAGGAGCAAGAGGAGGAACTACAATAACGTTATAAGAGGAGAATCTACTGCGACGATCATAGCCAATTAGGCCTCTGCAGAAGGAACATCAGACGATACATATTTGAACGAATTGAAACCGTCCGATGTCTTGCTCTGACAGCTATTTCATTATTCGAAAGATTTCACTGCGGCAGGAGATAATATGGGATTCACACCACTAATTAGCATGTTGTCTCCATTTCTTTCCGATATTTCGATACTTCTTGCCATAAGGACATGGCCTTTCTCTGTTTTTTATGGGCAATTATTACGGATCAATCCTTTACACTCGATATACCTTTCTAATTAGACCTTAGCGCGCCTCTCTCTATACATATATGTCTATATACTATATAGATTAAATCAATTTTGAAAGTAGGTTAAAAACGTATAGCAAGCGATTAGAGTTCGATTTAACTTAGGGCTAGGGCTAAAATTCGATTTAACTTAGAAAAATCGAACTTCATTTAACTTAGAAAAATGAAAAATTCAACTTTATGAATTTAATTCATAGGTCTTTACTTATTACTTATAATAACTTAGTCGATCTAATTAAAGAGCGTAGCGAATTTAAATTAATAATAAACTATATATATAAATTTAAGATTTTTAAGCTTAGCTCTATCTTACTCTTTTATATATATTAAGAATATTTTATTTTAATATTTTATTAATTAATAATAATTTATTTTATAGATGTTAAGACTACGCTTTAATTATAGTTATTATATTAATTTTAAATCGCTATCTCTTAAAAAAATTAAAAAATTAGAATTATTAGATTTAAAGAGTTTTAGAATTAATATAATAATATAAAATTAGAAAGAAAGATATATTTATATATCGATTTAGTAGTAAAAATAATTCTTAAGAAAGTAAAGAAAACTTAAAGGAAATCGCTTATTTAAGTTTATTCGCTAAGATTTCGTTAAGCGTACGTTAAGCGTATATAAGTTAAATAATCTAAAGTTCTCTTATTTAGAACTTATAAGCTTCTTTTCTAATATCATTTTAAAAAATCTTATTATTATTATTATTTTTAGATTTATATTTTAGAATAATATTAGTTTTATTTATCCTTTCTATATTTCTAATAAAACTCTTTTATTTATTATTATATATACTTTTTTTTTTTCTAATATCTAATTATCGAATAATTATATTTAAATATTTATAAAGAATAATAATTACGCGTTTAATATAATTATATATATATTCTTCTAAGATTTTTTATTAACTAGCGATCTTTAAATAGTTATTATTATTTCTCTTATAATTTAAATTAAGTTTAAATGAGATTATAAATAGCTAATTTTAGATAGATATTTATTAGTATATATAAAAGAATAAGATAGAATTAAGCTTAAAAATCTTAAATTTATATATTGTGAGGTAGCAAGGCCTCTTTTAATGGAACTACGTAGTAGCTATATAATCACGAGGTCTAGATGCGTAGTTAATAGAATAGATAGATCAGTTGCTAGATGAACTAATAACTAAAGAAAGAAGAAGGGGAAAGGGGACTCGCAAGTATTTAAGACTTTGCCAAGCATGTTGGATACTCGCCCTAGCTGCGTAGCTTGCAGCCTGGCAAGCGACGCAAGCGAGCCTATCAGTTCGCTCCGAGTACTTCCACCCTTACAACTGCATCCCCCCTCAGGAGGTTCAGCCCCTGAACCTCATCATCATTGCGCCTTGTAATTGAATGCGTGCGGACTTGCCAGTACCACCTGCGCTGCCCATTGCCAGCTTGGACGTAGCCTGAACTGACGTGTGCTGCAATGGCGTATCCGTACTGTGTGCCCTGAGGTCTTCTTGAGCATGTTGTCATGTTTACATGCTGAATCGCGACAGCATCGCTGTGCGCATTGTTGTTTTGGTCAATAGGACATGGGCGTAGTGCTACCCCATTGCGGTGTGCTATTATCGCCATTGCCATGCGCTATTGTTGTGTTGTCACTTTGTGATCGTGGTGATCCTATTGTGGTGATCGTTGAAAGTCGCGCTAGTGAGTACAAAAGACTTACTTCCAGTCTGACTTTTGTTCTTCTTAGCAACAATATCAACGCCGACGCCATCACAAGTAAGTGCCCAGTCCTTCTTCATGTCTGCTATCTTGCCTTCGTCCGTTCTCATCGCAGTATCGCGATAGCGAGCTGCGCATCATCGCAACAGCATAGTATATGCATCGGTTGAGGTGATAGTTGAATGAGGTTGCAGTCACTCAGATCAACTTCACACACAACAAGCACCTCGAAGGATGCTTTGCGATGCTTTGTGGACAGCATAAGGAGCATGCTGACATGTCGACAGTGGTATTAAACCTCCGCTCTCGTGGCCCTTCGGGTTACCAAGTGCTTGTGGCCGTCGTAGTCCCTGCGCCTCGCGCTGTTGCTGGTAGGCATTCACATCCGTTTTGAAGACGTGCTTGGCTAAGAAGGCTGTCAGCCCCCCTCGTCGCTGCTCCCGTCGCCGCTCCCGTCGCTGCTCCCGTTGCTGCTCCCCCCATCCGTGCTCCGGATATCGACCGTGAGTGGAAGAGATGCCAGATAACTAAGAGGTTGCGCTAACGTGTGCTAGTCCCCTTTTGCTGCCGTTGTGTGCGTGCTCTCGCACGTGACCCTCGTGCGGTTTGCACCGCGCCTCCTGCTGGCTCGCGCCAGCGTAAGTGCGGGCGGTGCTCCCGCGGGGGTCATGTGTGCGTGGTAGACTCGGTCCCCGTCTACCAGGGTGATGTCTTCGCTGCGGCCCGCACTGGCGGGGATGTTCGTGCTGCCCTTCGCCGCTGGACCGGTATGAATCCTACTGGCATGTGCTAGGGTGCGTAGCTAACATGCGTAGCGGCTCACCGCGCCGAGGAACTTCGGCGTAACGCCGCCGTCTTCGCCCCTCCTCTGGCTGCTCCTCTTGCTGCCCCCCGTGCTGGGTCTTCCCGCTATCTGGTGGGTCTTCTGGGTAAGCAGTTACTTCCCAGCATGAGATAATAGGTAGGCTAATGCTAAGCAGTGGTGGTCTTGTGTGCGGCCTTGGTGGCCATTTTTCTTACTGTGCGTGGCGCCTCGGCGCTTTAGGATCGGCCTGCGGGCATTTTAGCTGTTTTCGCTGGGCCTTTTAGCCACAACTCATTCGCCCTTCGGGGCTCCCATACTACTACTGTTTCCGCGGTCTTCCTCGCTTCTTAACCCCCCTTAACGATTGCGCCTTTGGCTTTGTCTTGGGTACTGGTTTGTGTGACTCCTTTACTTACTCGAAGTCCTTGATTACGCCTTTAGCATTTTCGAGGTACTCTATTGATTCCCACGAAGCTTCGTAAGATGGGGAGTCTTTCCAGTCAATAAGGTACTTAGTCTCACCCTTGCGAACTCTTTTGTCTAGCACCTTATTGACCTCCCACTCTTCTTCTTCATCAATCAAGACTACTTACGACTCCGGATCATTACTACGCGAGTGCCACGGCTCTAGTAGCGATACATGAAATATAGGATGGATTCTTCCATATCTAGCAGGGAGGTCTAGCTTGTAAGCCTACGTGTCTATTTTCTCCAGCACTTCAAAAGGTCCAAGCTGCCTGTGATCAAGTTTCTTCTTTGGTCGCAAGGTGCGTATATTCAAGCTTCGCAATAGTACTTTGTCTCCTTCCTTGAAGGTTATAGCCCTGTGGTTGCTATTGTAGTACTTTGCTTGCTACTTCGACGCTCGCTCCCACAATCCTTTCAGGTGCGATCTTATCTCTCGCAACCATTCTGCTCGCTCTGTAGCAAGCGGTGCTTCCCCCTTAAGATCCTGCCCTCAGGAGCATTTCCTAAGTCTGCTGTGTATCCCATCAGCAGATCTTGCGGGGTCTTGCTAGTGCTTGCGTGCACGCTATTGTTATATGCGAACGCAGCCATCGGCAAGATTTCAGGCCAGTTGTCCTGCTTGTAGTTGCAGTACACCCGCAGGTAGTGTTCCAGTACCTGGTTTTGCCTCTCAGTCTGACCATCGGTCTGAAGATGGAACGCAGTGCTTAGCCTGCGCTTCGCACCCAGGTGCCAACATAGCGTTATCCAGAACTTGCTTATGAACAGGGAGCCTCGATCCGAAATCAAGTTGCGCATCATGCCGCGCAGTGATACAAACTCCCGCCACAAGATGTCAGCAAGGCCATCAGCCTTCAGATCCTTAGTGGTCGCTACGTACGTTGCATGCTTGGTTAACTTGTCTACCAAGACCAAAACAGCATCGCAAGTCTTGCCAGTGTACGGATCCCTTGCAGGTGGTAGGTCCGTGATGAAATCCAGTGTCACAGTGTGAAATGGATCCACGCCACCTGGGGGGATCGACGCCAGCTCGCCATACGGCTTGTGATGATGAACTCGCACCCTTTGGCAATCGGGGCAAGTGCGAACATACTCTGCTATGTCGCTTATCATACCTGTCGAGTAGTACTTGGACCTGATGCCCTCCTCAGTGCGCTTGCGGGCGAAGTGCCCAGCACCAGGTTCATCATGATTCATGCGAAGGATCTCTTCCTTCGTAGCAGGATCGTTAGGAACGTAGACTGCGAGGCCACGACGTAGCAGTCCATCTTCACCGACTCCCCATTTCGAAAGCTCATCCTATTTAGCAGCGTACCTTTGGCGCCACTCCTCATTCGCAACGAAAGCGTCCTTGCGTTGCAATTTGAGTAGCCATGCTACCATCGGTTCCCGCAGCTTCAAATAGGACCTCTCCGACTCCAAAACCTGGTGAACCAGAAGTCGGGACGACATCGCAGCATCTAGAATGCGTGTCCGTCTGTCGAGCACTCTCTCATCCAAGTCAGTGACTTGGGTATCTGCGACGGTAATACCGTCCAGTTGCTCCGTCAACGCTGCAAGTTTAACTGTAGCAGGTACGCCATTGCGTTCCTGCAGATCAGGTTGGTATTCCTGATTACGAAGCTTGTTTCGCAAGATAGAAAGGAAATCATCATTGTTGTCCTCGCTACCATCCGGTTTAACAATATTAGACCTTCTTAACGATACATCCGCAGGGTTGAGTTTTCCCTTGCGATATTCGATGGTAAAGTCAAATGCAGCTAATTTCTCAGCCCAGCGAATCTACTTCGCATTGAGCTCTTTGTCGTCATAAAATAACGCAAGTTGTTGTGATCTAAGATCACACGAATGGGGTGCTTGCTACCTTGCAAGTAATGCCTCCAATTCTTAAAGCCTAGCACAATCGCATAGAGCTCCTTGTCATGGGTGTCCCAGCGAGACTCAGCGCCTTTGAATTTGTAGCTGGAAAAAGCAATGGGGTGCCATTACCCGTCCCCGCTCAGTTGGCTGAGCACACCACCTGCACCTGCGTTGGAAGCATCGGTCTCCATGATGAGCGGTGCTTCCCAATTGTAGTGTTCCAGCACAGGTGCGGTGGTAAACACTCGCTTGAGTGTCTTGAAAGCCTCACGTGCTTCCTCATTGAACACGAAGGGTGGTCTGGTCTCGCCTTTCTTTGCTCCTCGGGTCAGGTCCGTCAAAGGCGCAGCTATCTGCGAAAAGCCTCGCATGAACCGCCGGTAGAAGCCTGCGAACCCTAGAAAGACCAAGATGTCCTTAGCAGACTCTGGTTCTGGCCACTCAGTGATGGCCTTAATGCGCGATGGCTCCATTTGGATGCCGCGCTGGTTTACTAAGAACCCCAGAAAGGTAACCTCATTGCGATTGAAAGCACATTTCGATAACTTCGCATAGAGTCGATGCTCCAACAGTGCGCGCAGCACTTTGCGCACATGCTCCCAATGCAACTCTTCCGTTTCGGAATAGATCAGCACATCATCCAAGTACACCACGCAGAAGACATCGATGTATGGCTTGAGTGCTTTATTCACGTAAGCTTGAAAGGTTGCGGGGGCATTTGCGAGGCTAAAAGGCATCACTTGGTATTCGAACTGGCCGTAGCGAGTTCGGAAGGCGGTTTTCCACTCGTCTCCCTTTCGCACTCGTATCCTATAATACGCATTGCGAATGTCAACCTTGATAAAGTGCTTCGCATGTGCGAACCTTTCCAAGGTCTCTGAGAGCAGTGGCAACGGGTAATTATTCTTGATAGTTACCTCGTTGAGCCCTCGGTAGTCAACACACAGTCGCAGCGAGCCGTCTGGTTTCTTGACAAACAGCACTGGCGAGCCAATCTAACTGGTTAAGGGTCGAATCCACTTCCTCTCAAGCGCAGTATCCAGGTAGTCCCTGATCGCTGCGAGTTCGTCATACGACATATTGTAAATCGGACCGCTTCTGGGTAGCTTCCCAGGTTGCAAGTCGATAGGGTGTTCAACCTGGTCGTACGTGTTGAGACTATTAGATAGCTCTTCTGAAAAGACTTCTAATAGGTCCTCAAGTTGTTCAGGCACGCCAGGGTCATCTAGCTACGTGGCACCACACCGCATAGCTTCATCGCAATTATCTTCACTGCTTTCAGATAGAATCTGATATAAGAGTGCGATAAACGCTTGTCCCAGGCCATGCGTAACTGCTGCATTGGCCAATGACGCAAAGTGCTCCACGTCCACCATTGCGATATCTGCTTGCTTCTCATCGCTCACAGGAAAATCGCGGTAGGTCCAGAACTGCTCGCGCCAATGGATATCCGGATCGACATCATAGATCCAAGGGAAACTAAGAATAAGGTCGTATCCTCGCATATCCACAGCATACGCCTTCAAGGTTTGCTCTTGCTTTTTTCCTCGACTGTCCGCGAGGCCAAAGACCAGATCATGCTTCCCATACGAGGGTATTTGATGACCGTCGATGGCACGCACCATTGTTGGCGCGTGTTCAGGTTTAGG